CGACGACGGCGGCGACGACGACGACGGCGGCGACGACGGCGACGACGACGGCGGCGGCGGCGGCGGCGGCGGCGGCGCCGACCTCGGGGGCCCTCCTCCGACGACGGCCGCGGCGGCGACGACGACGACCTCTTGAGCTTTCCTCGCGCGCCACAGTACCGCGCCGCACACGCCAGGCTCACGGCACCGCGCCGCAGTCACAGAGGGGGGGCATCGCGCAGGGGGGGGGGGCCGCTCGGCATCAGCATGAAGGGGGGTGGGGCGGGCCCAGGCCCTGGGCCACAGCTCGATGGTTTCGGGAACCTCAATTCTGAAGTCTCTGCGAAACCTGAGGCTTTTGATGACCTCTGGCATGCGCTCGCGACGGCGGCGCGCGTGGATTTCGTCCCATTGTTAGCGCACGGTTTCTGAACATGTACGATGCTTGATAATCGATCGTTCGCACACCGAGGTATTGGAAAGGCCTTGCGGCTGGTGCCGCCGACGACGGCGACGACGATGACGACGATGACGACCGACGACGACGACGACGTTGACCTGGGGCTGAGTCCTCAGGGATGCTTCGCGGGGCTTCTTCGGAGCGCGCTCGTGGGTCTCAAAGTAATAGTTTCGGGGCCTCTTGGAGGCGGGTCTCTTTGCAGCCGCTTAAGGGTCTCGTCGGGTTTCCTGGGGCCCTCTTGGGGGCTTGCTTGGGCTTCTTGGGAACTTCTCCTGGTCGATGGCTGAAGATGGTTGTTCGGGCTCCCGTGTGGGTGCCCTCTTGGGGCCGTTTTGGGTGCTCCTTGGGCCGTCTGGGAGGCCTTGGGGCAGTCTTGGGGCTCCGTCATGGGGCCTCTTGGGCTGTTTTTGGGTTTCTTTGGGCCCCGGGGCCCCCCAGGGGGCGATGGCATTTTGACCCGGGGCCGCCCGGGGACCCCCCCCCGAGAAGGGATGAAGGGAACGCTTTCCTTGCAGCTCAATAGCGACATTGCTTCTTTTCGTTGTGGCTTGCGGCGTCGAGGAGGGGGGTCCAGGGCAAGGAGGGGGGAATATACGACGGGCGCAGGGGAATTTTGCGACGATTGACGACGACGACGATGGTGGCGACGACGACGACGACGATGACGACGGCGACGACGACGACTACAGCGTCTTCCACGCGCCGAAGTGTCGGCGGACGAAGGGTCGGCGGATTTGACAGGGAGGAAGCGGGGTCGATGACGGAACCTCCTGGGATGGTATGGGTTCATCTCCAGTATGAGCGATGGGTAGTCATATATATATATATATATATATTTATATATTTATGTATGCATGTATGTATGTATGTATGTATGTATGTATGTATATACATATATATATATATATATATATAGAACATTGCCTTATCCCAAGGGGAGGCGATAATTCCGGGTCGGGGTGGGGTGGGGGATCCTCCTTTCCTTTCTCGCGAAGCGAGAGTCGACGTGGTGCAATGTGTTGTGCGCTCTAGGTTTTGCAATCTATGGATTGCAGTATATATATGTATATAGTGCAATCTATGCTGTTCAATTGGTTTTGACACATGAGTTCGCACATTCCACGCCTTTGGAAACATCCCACCCACCCGCCCGCAATTTGCTTTGCACAACCCTTGCGCCGGCGATTGCGATGAATGCTTTGCGTTGGCTGCCTCATCTCTGCGGCCGCGCTAGTCCGCGCACGCTCGTGCGCAGAGCGGCCAGCTAGTCAGGCGGGACTGGCGCGGCCAGGGTGGCGCTGATCGTTGGGCACTTCCCAGCAAACACTTCAGTGCGAGTCGGTGACTTGGGCGTGCGCGGTATCATGGCGACGGCGACAGCGGTAGACGCGATTTTGAAAGTAGCGACGATGGTGGCGATGGTGGCGATGACGGCGACAAAGCCGATGGCGACGCCGATGTCGATCGCGCCCGCCGATGACGAGAACGAGATCCCCGCTTCGGCAAGAAGGTTTTTTAAGGACTTCGACGTGCGCGAGCGGCCGACGCGCGCGAGTGGCCCTCGTGGTATTCTTTGACAGGGGTCGCGCCCCCTCCCCCCAGCACGCGCGCAAAGGCTCTCGAATGATTTCGACGTGCTCGCTCGAGAGGCCCGCTTCGCAGAATTTTGGGAAAGCGTTCGAACAAACTGTGTTTTTGTTGAAAACTCGCAGGAGCGCGAGTGCATGATTTGCTCGAAAACTGACGTTGCAAATTTGGATGTTTTGACATGTCCTCGGGGCGCATTCGATTTTAGATTTCTGAGGGGGTGGAGGTTTAGAAGTAATTCGGCACTCGCGCGCGACGACGCGCGCGCGTGCTCTTCGCCCCATTTGTTGCAGGGGAATTTTGCGACAGCGCGCGCGCAAGGGCGGCCGAGCGATTTCGGCATGCGCGCGCGAGATGCCCGCTTGGTATAATGTTATGAGCATGTTGGAAAACCAAGGGTTGCCTTAAACATTCGCAAGTGTGAACGTTGGCTTTTGTTTGAAACTCTGTGCTGCGAAGCCAGGTTTTTTTTTTTTTTTTTTTTTTTTTTTTTTTTTTGTTGTTTTTTTTGTGTGTTTTTTTTATGTTCTCGTGCTCGAAAAACTGATGAAACCCTGGGTTCTTGAAGGATTTCGGCATGCGCGCGCGTCGACGCGCGCGTGTGCACTTCGTCCTGTTATTGCGAAGGGTTCTTGACGACTGATGATTTTGTGCGCGCGGATATTTTGCAAAGGGTAAAGGGGGGGAGCCGATGCCGGCCTGCCTGGGATGGTGCGAATTCATTTTTCGGACGGACGATGGGGCAGAGGGGGGGTGGATCTTCATATTCCTGTTAGAAACGAGAACTAATTCTGTTCGGAGTGATTTGCCGACTCCACTGCTCGCGCAAAGTTCCAACCAAGCCACGCGCAATTTGGTTTGCAAAATTCATGAGGCGGCAATTCTGATGTCCACCTGGCGCTGGCTGGCGCATCGCTGCGGCCGCGCTAGCGCGCGGAGGTTTGCGCTCAAATCGGCCAGCGAGTCTGGCGCGACCGACGCAGCCGCGGTTGGGGCTGACCCTTGGGGAGTTCCCAGCGCGTCTCGCAGGCCACGCTGATGCGCGGGCACTTCAGTGCGAGTTGGTGAATTGGGCGGGCGCGGTATCATGGCGACGTGGACGACGGTAGACACGAGGATGCCAGTAGCGATGATGATGACGATGACGACGATGACGACGGCAAGGCCAATGACGGCGCCGATGTTGATCACGTCGATGACGAGGTTGCTGTTCATGCGTCGGCGATGAAGGTTTTGGGGGGATTTTGACCAGCGCGCGCGGCCGGTGCGCGCGAGCGGCCCGCACGTTTTTTTTGACACGGATCGTGCCCCCCCCAGCACGCGCGCATTGGATGAAAATGTTGAAAAATCAACGGGTTTACCAGTACTTCGCAGACACATGCGCACATTCTCGGGTCGAACAGTGATGATGCAAAAGAAATGCTCATGTTTTTGAAAATACGTTTTGGGGACATTCGATTCTGATTTTGTACAAAATCAATTGTTTTGAAGGATTTTGGCATGCGCGCGGGACGTCGCGCGCGTGTGCTTCTCGTCCCGGTTTAACCAGACATATTCATGTCAATTGATGAGTTTTGATGCACGGGTGTGCGCGCATAGTGTTTTTGCCGAAAATGGTAAGGGGAACCGATACCGGCTTGGCTGGGATGATACGGGTGAATTTAAAGGGTGGTCGATGGGGCAGGGTCATTTGGAAAGTGCACATCCCCATGGCGGGCTGATAATCCCGTCTTCGGGGATCTATTTTTTTTTGGGGGGGAAAGAAAACCGATGCGGCGACGAGGCGGCGACGGCGACAACGTAACCGGTTGACCGGCGGTCAGGCCCAGACGACGGGCGGCGACGAGGCGGCGACGGGGCGGCGACACACAACATAGCAACCAGACTTGTGGGCAGGCCCAGTTTCTTCAAACAGCAGGAGGAACCCTTAGTGCAAACATTGTTCGTGGAATGAAAAACGCAGCGCCACGCAAAGCGAGGCAGTGTACTTGGCACAGTATCGATGATGCGAGCAGCTGTGGACGAGGGGTGACGCGAGAAGGCGGGGGCAGCAACAACAGGAGCATGGCGGGACCCTACGGCCGCGAAGGAGAAACCGCGCCCTGCGCGCGCAACGCACGGGCGGCACACCGTTGCCGCACCCCAGAGTCTGCGCACAGTCTGCGCGCTCCCGCACGCAACGCACGGGCAGGACTTTGCGGTCAAGGCGTTTGGCTCAGCGTGTCGCTCCGCCAGTTCTGGCCCACCGCGCTTCGGCGCAACACGCTATCCACGTCTTCGTTGTTCCGAGGCGTCCACGTCCCGAGCCTCTCTCAGCCCCCCGTCGTGCGGAGCGGAGCACAAAGGCCTATGAGATTGCAAGGCGCAGCGTGTCGCCGGGGCCGCGGCCACGATGCGCTGAGCAGCAGTTCCCGACCGCATGGCGGTACCGAGGGATCTGCGCGCCCTCGCACGCAACGCCTTGGGGGCCCGCCATGAGCCTGCGTTGCCCCCCCGGGAGTGCGCGAGGCAGCTGTCCGAAGCTCGGCTGCCCGATCCAACGGGGTTGGCGCCCTGCGATGGTGCTGTGCCCTCCAGCTCCTTAGCGCAGGATCGGCCAAGAAGCGGGCCCACACGCACAGTCACTGAAACGCGCGTGTCGATCCGCTTGCTGTGTGCGACACCACGCTCGATGAGATGAGTCTTTCACGTAGCGCCTCGCAATGGGAACTTTCTAAACTGCTTATTGGCTTGTAGTGCGGATCGCAATGTATGTTGGCTTGTAACGTGGGCGCTTCCGGGTCAGTCTGTTACATTGCTACCAGGCCGTGGCATGTATTCGAGGGCCATTTGCTGAGATCTCGGCCTGGGTGCAAGGCACGAAGCGAATGCTGCAAACATGCCGCGTTCGCGCCAAAATTGGCAGCGCGCGCGCGAATCTGACATTCTCCGAGACCATGGGTTACAAAGTTTCTTGACACAGGATGTGCCAGCATATATCCCGAGTCCATGAGTTCCCGTAGCCATTTTGGTTCAAGTTTGGGTTCAAGCCACCTCGAATCAAGCTATACATTGAACATCTTGGCGGTTCAGGGCTTGCTGTTGGCAGCCCAATGCATGGGCTTATCCACGTCGTTCTCAAGGATTTTGTTGTAAGCCGATGCGGCGAGGACGCCTGGAGGTCAGTCCTACAGGATCTGCAACTCACGGACGACGCTGCGATTCTCGATCTCAAGCAGTATGACGACGCCACATCTGTGGCCGCGGTAAACGCTGTGGTCAAGGTGCTCGCGATCACATGGGACGACGCTTTGAAAGCATTCGGTGCCCACTTCATCGCGTACATCCATGCTGGAGGCCATCTGCGCATGCTGGAGAGCATGGGGGACAGCATTCAGGAGTTTATGCAAAACATGGACCACCTGCACAGCCACTTGGAACGCAAGATCCGAGGCTCGAGGTTCCCCTCCTTCCACGTCAGCGACGAGGAAGAGGACGGTTTTCGGCTCTCCTACGCGTCCGCCCGCGGCGCTGCCCTCGTCGCCTTGGTGGAAGGAAAACTGCAAGCGGCGGCCAAGCTCCTCCACCGGCAAGCCATCAGCATGCAGCTCGACGCCGAGCCTCTTCCCGGATTCTCAGCCACGTGGCGCGTCAAGGTTGGCAGACTGAACAGCGCGGCAGGGGAGCCGCCGGTTGTTGCCGACCGGCGTGGCGCTCTGGTTCGAGGGGCCGCCTGGCACCACGCCCTCGTGAGTTGCTTCAACTTCAGCTGCTGCGCGGAGCCCGCGGGAGGCCCCACTGGTGCCGAGGTTGTACACGAAGCCAGCTGCACAGATCTATTCCCCGACTGCTCGCCCTGCTCAGCTGCCTCCCGCGCGTCAATTTCCCAGCTGGACGAGCTAGAGTGCAAGGCCAAGGGCTTGTCGCAGCCTGCGGACTTGCTGATGAGGGCAGTTTCCTCCGTACGTGTGAGCGCCAGGTGGGAGGATGCCGGCTGCCTGGCGCACACGGAGGAGTTTTGGCGCACAAGCGACGGGGACATTTGTCATTTCCAGTTGGCATCACCAGCTCAACGTGCCACGCGCTTCGTATCACATTCTTGGTTCGAGCCCGCGAACTGGCAGGATGTCATGGGCTCCAAGTGTAGTTATGCCGCCATGAAGTCTACAGAGCTGCAGTTGGCTGCCACAGAGATCGCAGCGGACTCAGGCTGCAATCTCGAAAACGTAACCTTTTGGATCGATAAGTGCTGCATCCCCCAGCAGCACTCGCTCAAGGATCTCTGCATCTCAATGATCGAGGAGTTTCTGGACCGCTGCGACGGGATGGTCGTGCTCCTTACCTGGGAGTACTTCCAGCGACTGTGGTGCGTGTACGAGTGGGCTGCGTTCCTTGTGCGCCACCCTCTAGAGAACCTCACGATCTGCATGGAGACATTCCTGCGCCCGAGCTCCCGCCAGCTGCACATCGAAGCCATCAGGAACCTGGCAATTGACAACTGCAAGTGCTCCCGCGAGCTCGACCGCACGCTGCTCAAGCAGAAGGTTGCGCAGTACTACACCTCCGAGGCCAATTTCGAGACGCTGGCGCGGTGCAGTGCCATCGCGCTGATCGTCCGGGCACTGTGCAGAAGCGCATCTCGCAGCATGCACACTTGGGAGGAAGAGGTGGTGCCATTTCTCAACCTGGCGAGGGACTTAGGCTTGGTCGACCTGGCTGAAGCCCTTGAGTCCGCGGACCCGTGGCGGTGGCGGATGACCTCCCAGAAAATCGCCTGCAGTGACGTAAGCGTGTCCAATACACGAGGTAGTATCACCGAGGTCAAGGAATGGCAGCCCCTCTTCAACTACTCAATTGACTGCTGGTTCGATGATCGGGTCGCCGCCGTTCTGCAGCGCACCAAAAGGGCAGCCGTTCGGCCGGACTTCGCAGACAGTTCTGATATTCACGGAAGCTTGAGTGAAGTACGCAAATGGCATACGCGTAAATCCACCGGATCGAAATCATGTGCGATGCTGGTCGGGGATTGTGACCCCCAGGTGTCGTGACGAGGTTGTAGTCGGTACATTTGGCGACCCGCCTGATGCATGCGCGCGATATAAGCATACGGCGACCCGCCTGATGCATGCGCGCGATATAAGCATACGCGCACGCTCCGCTTAATGAAACTCATTTTTTTCGGTCTGGCCAAGATGCATCATATAGTACGTTAGCTCATTGCTGTGGCCGTGCTCATTCTAGCTGTTCGCGTACGCAAGATATCCCGAGTCCATGAGTTAGTTATTCGCGAGGACATATCTTCCGAAAACCAGTGAGCGTTTTATGGCACTGGTTTGTCCCCGTACTGTTGGAGCAATACGCCCCACGTATGCAAGCGCTTCTGCGAGTGACTTGGCGGGGCTCGCCATGCTCCTCCTGTGCAAGACCCGTCAGCAAACCACCACATTGTAGTATTTAAAGGTTGAAAGTGGCCTCTGTACTTGTATATATGACTAGGTCTCCGTACGCGTAGTGCTTAATAAGGGAAATGGCTTGAAAAAGGTTATCTAACGTCTCTAGCTTCAGCGCATCTGTCTGCGTTCTCAATTACACTGTAGTTGGATGCCCCACGGATGTAAAGCAATGCGCGCACGGCTAATCTGTCGACAGCTTGCCGATCGCTGACGCGAGGTGCTCACCGACCTTTTCACACTGTCCCTGCCCTCTTTCAGGGCACGCGTACGAATGCACAGAAGCTACAGTGGCAGGCGCGGGTACGTGAGCAGACGTACGCGTTCATGCCCGACAGAGGCCCGTGTGGGAAGGGGCGTCCAGTGTAAGTTTGCCAGCAGATTCGTTTGATGGCAGCATGCATGCAGGGCGCACTGGGCAGTGATATAGCGAGGTACGGCGGGCGCACATTTTTTTCTTCCATAATGTTAAACCGACCACTGGCCAGGAAGCACTCGCACTCACATTTATCCCTGTAGACGATTTTCAAGACGATGGGCCGCGTCAGAACTCATGCGGTCTCACACATGCACGCCCACGCACGCACGCATGCCAGCCTTCTCGCTTGCATGCACACCATATGTTTTTCCTCCCACTCTCTGTTGACGGCAGCCAGCCGCACAGATCTGAATTTCCACCTTGGGTGACACGGCACGCGCGCAGCAACAACGCAGACCGATCAAGGTTCCAGGAGTGGCCCCAAATACAAGAACCAGGAGCACCAAAAACACAAGCACGCACACGCACACGCACACGCACACGCACACGCACACGCACACGCACACGCACACGCACACGCACACGCACACACACACACCCACGTACACACACACACCCACATCCACATCCACATCCACCCTCCAACCCACCAACCCACACACACACATACACACACGCATACACGCACGCACACACGCACACACAAACCGACAAACACACACACACACACACACACACACACACACGCACACGCACACGCACACGCACACGCACACGCACACGCACACGCACACGCACACGCACACGCACACGCACACGCACACGCACACGCACACGCACACGCACACGCACACGCACACGCACACGCACACGCACACGCACACGCACACGCACACGCACACGCACACGCACACGCACACGCACACGCACACGCACACGCACACGCACACGCACACGCACACGCACACGCACACGCACACGCACACGCACACGCACACGCACACGCACACGCACACGCACACGCACACACGCCCGCCCGCCCGCCCGCCTGCACGCACGCACGCACGCACGCACGCACGCACGCACGTACGTACGCACGCACGCACGCACGCACGCACGCGCGCACGCGCGCGCGCACGCGCGCGCCCGCACACGCACACCCATGCACACGCACACGCACACGCACACGCACACGCACACGCACACGCACACGCACACGCACACGCACACGCACGCACGCACGCACGCACACGCACACGCACACGCACACGCACACGCACACGCACACGCACACGCACACGCACACGCACACGCACACACACACACACACACACGCACACGCACGCACACACGCACACACGCACACACGCACGTACGCACGTACGCACGTACGCACGTACGCACACACACGCGCACACGCACACGCACACGAACACGCACACGCCCACGTACACGCCCACGCACACGCACTCGCACACGCACGCGCACACGCACACACTTTCTTCCCGTGGGTGCGTGTGGCTCGAGGAGGAGCCCCAGGGGAGCCCGCTCTTCCGCATGGACGCTCAAGGAAGCGCTGGCGGTCCGTCGGTCACAGATCGAACCCCGAGCGGCTCAGTGGTGCAAGGAAAACAGACCGGAGTCTCGGGCCTACGCCTACCGCCAGCCTCGAACCGATCTGCATCCCATTCATCGCCTTGGAGAACACATCACACGTGCGGCAAGCCGGCCTTCCAGCAACGGTGTCGCACGATTCATCCCGTTTACTTTCATGAGTTTCATATGCCACCTCGCCTTCAACGGGCACATGCGCGTGCTGCTCACACTACGTCCAGTTCGTTCTCACCATCGGTGATCTCTCCAGGTACCGTCCGTTGGCCAGTCCCCACCACACAATATGCGTGGGCATTGCAGGAGGTACAAAAGGTCCAGCATTTTATCCAAACGCCGTCGCAGGAAGGAGCCGCCGCGGTTCGAGTATGGATATGGTCAATGGTACCTCGGGGTGGCTTTCCTGCTCTACAGTTGTTCCTACATCGGTTGTTGGTAAGCACGTTTCCTAGCGACAAGAAGCATGGCATCACGGAGTCCAGCGTGATGGTCAGTATTATTCATATCTTCATGGCGATGGGCGTAATTTGATTACGCCAGGCTCTGGAACAGTCGGAATTTCCCAGATGGGCGGCCAGAGTATTCCGTATCTACCACCCTATGCGAAGTTCGCCATCAGCAATCTTGATGCGGGTTGGTTGTCGTGGTGACAGAGTTGTGTTGAGGCAACATTGACGCCTACAGAGTGGTCTGCCTATGTCTTGTGGAGTGCAGCTGGAGCTTACGTCGGAAAAGTGTATCTCACGCAGTCGGTTACTACCCCAGGGCTGGCCGCGCGACTTCGAGAACACATTTCGGCCATCGTGTCTCCAGATACGCCAGAGGGTAGAAGGCCGAGATCTCATCTTCTGCGGAAGTCTTTGGGAACACTGTGTATGCTACCAGTGGCGATCTTTTTTCGTCGGAAGCGCAGGCGTTTGCAAGGGGGTCCCTTGTGGTCAAATTCGCCAACCCTGAGTGCAACAATCGTGATCGTGGTTGTCAACGCCGTGGAATCCGACAAGGACCACTACTGGTACCACGGCGGGAAGCGGTTCGTCGTCGTCCGCCACCGCGGCTTCGAGGACCCAAGCAGGCGCAGTCAAGTTGGGTGTCCCATGGATTCCAGGATGCGAAGGAGAAGTCCATTTATGAACGTGTGCGCCGGGAACAATGGTTACAACGTCCTGGACAGCTACGAGGCGCGTATTCTGGGGTCTACGCTGGCATTGTGAGGCTCAGGTTGGGGGATGATCGTAGATGCGACCCGATCAGCATCTCCGAGGAAAGTTTAGACAATCAGTTTGTGGCTTATTGTGCATCATATCGTCCATGTGTTGGTCTCCCACAGTCGTGGAGTGCAGGTGCAGTTGCTGGCTCCTACTACCGTGCAGGGGAGTTGGTCAATCATTTCCGTCCATGTGGGGCTCGTCGTATGGCGACCGTCATAGTAATCGAATCCCTCCTCCGTCTGCATTGTTTGGCGCCGTTCAATGTCCCGCCGCTCGCCACGCTGTGGCGGCAATGTAGTGCTCAGTGGTCGGAGTGGTCCCGTGGTGTGCGGCTTCCCTTTCGGGTTATCTCGAAAAATGTGAGCCGCCTGTGGCTGTATTGATGGGGGGAGGTTCTGGAGCGAGCTCGGGCGAATACCATTGCATGGGTCGGTGCCCTGCCCACGCCTTTCGGCGTCCTCAGAGGGGTCGTGGGCGGTCGCGACCGTGACCGATACGACCGCCGTGGCCAGCGGGGCCGCGACGGTGATCGTGACCGTCGGAGGGGCCGCAAGACCCGTTCGAGTTCCTCGTCGCGGTCGAGGGGCAACCAGGGGGTGCGCCGCTTGGGGCGCCACAAGGGGTGGATGTACAAGCACGACCCGTCGTGCGCGGCGTACTTTGGCCAGCGGGGGCAGGAGCTACGCGGGGCCGAGGTTCGCCGCCAGCGGGGGATCATGGCCAGGGCAGCGCAGGAGTCGATCGGTCGCGCGCTCCAGGAGAATAGCATCCAGCTCCACACGTCCCAGCGCGGGGGCAGTGGAGGTCCGCCGCCGTCGCCGGGGACTTCCGCGCCTGCGGGCCCAGGGCCAGCCCCCAGCCCAGGCCCGCCTCCAGGGGGGACCGGCACGGTTGTCGCGGGGGACCTCGCGAACATCAAGCGCATGCTCGTGGAGGCGCAGTTCGGGTACGTCGTTGGGCTGGAGGACGGGAAGGAGTCTACGCTCAAGGAGGCCATTTCCAGCTCGTGGGGCAATCGCAAGATATCGCAGATTGCAAGCAAGCTATTCAAGAAGCAAAAGATCACGGAGCCCAAGCGTAAGGGCGAACAAAGATCAGAGTTGTGGAAATATTATCAGAACGTCGCCTGAGAGTTTGCCGAGCCTCTCTTAGACGTGTGCGGTGCTGAGATCTACTCTCCAAAGGTGGAGCGCTCTCTTTTGTGCAGAATCAGTTCAGGTTGTACATGATTATTTTCTGCTTGGGATCGCAATCGGCGTGTTCGTGTACTTCTGTCGTTTGTGGGTCCCCTATGTCAGTGTTCCTGTCAGCGTTTTTCTACGAATATCGTGTGCTGAATGGCCAGGCCGCCCCAATCCTGTGCCCGACTTTCTCACAGAAGATCGCAGGTAGTCCTTTTGCAGGTATATCCACTCTTGGGATCAACGAGGAGGGCGTGGGGGCAGCTGTCAGGGCCGCTCGAGGCCGCTAACAAAGACGGGGGCCTTTTGATTTTTTGTCCTCTTCCCTCTCCGCTCGCTCCCTCCCTCCCCTCCCTCCCTTTCCTTCCCCGCCCCCAAAAAAGTCCCCGCGTGAGGATTGCCTCGCGTGTGCCTGGGGCGTTTCTCGTGTGGTCTGGTGGGTTCAGTGTGTGAGGCGCTGTCCAGTGCTTGGCACCGACCTGTAGAGGTCTGTAGTTGGGCTCGGGTGCACCCGTCTTTCCCCCCTGGAGGACCCGAGCCTTCCTCCTCCACCAGGTGTGTGCCCAGAAGCCCGTCGAACAGGATTTGCCGAGGGCGATTTCAATCGCAGGGTTGAGTCTGACCCTATTGCGCTGTATCATATCCCAGCGCGGAGGGGCACACTTTCTTCCCGTGGGCGCGCGTGGCTCGAGGAGGGGCCCCAGGGGGGCCCGCTCTTCCGCATGGGCGCTCAAGCAAGCGCTGTCGGTCCGCCGGTCGCAGATCGAACCCCGAGCGGCTCAGTGGTGCAAGGAAAACAGACCGGAGTCTCGGGCCTACGCCTGCCGCCAGCCTCGAACCGATCTGCATCCCATTCATCGCCTCGGGGAACGCGCGCACACACACGCACGCGCGCACGCGCGCGCACGCGCGCGCACGCACGCACACACACGCACACACACCCGCGCGCCAACACACCCACGCACCCACGCACCCACACGCGCACGCGCGCACACGCGCACGCGCGCACACGCGCGCACACGCGCACACGCGCGCACGCGCACGCGCGCACGCGCGCACACGCGCACACGCGCACACGCGCGCACGCGCGCACGCGCACGCGCGCACACGCGCACGCGCGCACACGCACACGCGCGCGCACGCACGCGCGCACGCGCGCACGCGCGCACGCGCGCACGCGC